ATATTCCCCCTCTTTGTTTCAGGGGTATATAAATTGAACAAATGAAGGTGTTTATGTGATTTTAGTGATAAGCCCCATGTGCTTTTATTGATTTTGTTTTATGTTAAAACGCCACAACCCCAAGGTAAAATGCATATTGTATGTTGTCAGGTATGTAATTAATGGGTACACGTCCCATGTCTTTGGGCACTACTGTATGAATTCCAATCTCTGTAAATGAAGGGTTTTACATGTTAATGTATTTCATAGATGTAACTTAATAAACTGGCGCTGAAGGCTAACAGATTTTGGCAATAAAGTCAATTCTTTCTGTTAATCTCTTCATTTTTTCTTTTAGGACCTAAGGGAAACCGCTTGGTATTTTAAAAGCACATCTAGTACTCTATATTCCTGAATGCAACTGATTTTCACAGGCTATAATAAATCTGTTTTTTAAAAGTTGATTGTGAAACACCACAGATTATGCCACTTTGGTCAGATGATGGGAAGACAGAGCAGGAGATAATTTCCTGGGCTCCCTATATGAATTAGGAGACTATATATATATTTCAGTGGCTTAACCTCATAGTGAACAGCCCTGAAAAAGAGAACAAAAAGCTAAAGTGAGTGCTCAAGTCCTTTATGGAACCAGAATTGGGTCCAGGTGTGTCTCAGACACTGGATCCGCTGCCTTGTTTAAAAAAGCTATCAGCGGATATCAGAGGTGTTCAGCGCACCCGTTTCTTTCCACTGTGGAGAGCTGGAGCTGGGGTAGTGGTGTTCTGTCAATATTAGTTTGAGTCATCTTAAATTTTCACATCTAAGGATCAAAATCATGGCATTGTAGAAATTTCATTTGTTTGAACCTAATAGCTGTAGATGGAATCAGAAAAGGAGTGAGGCTTTCCTCTAAAACATTACAGGAAATAGAGAAAGATTTGCCTCTAAAATATCAGCCTCAAAATTTTGCCTTCCCACTGAGAATATATTGATGGGCTTTCTAAAATTCACTGTTCACATTGGCTCGTACCCACACCTGGGAGTGAGAAGAACAAAATACCCTTTACTTAGTAAGAAATGAATCGTTTGCCCTAAATTTATTTAAAACCATACGTCTTTCAGAATCATTATGTCAGCTTTCCAGATGAAAAATATCGATAGAAGTCTAATCTAGGGTCATAAAACAAACAAAGTTTTTATCAATTCTCAGAAGTAAGCTCCATCCCTAGGAACTACGGAGCAAAGAGATGAAACAATCTCACTGTCTCTCCTAATGTCGACGCAGTTATCCACAAAGAATGTCTAGTGTGAAATTAAAGTCCAACTGATATCCGGTCAGGACGCCGGTGGTCTATGTTCTGATTCCATAGACCTGATATTTAGTTGTTAGACATTTTGACTACCATTCCTATTTATTTCGCTTCTACCCACCCTCTCATGCATCATCACAATAAGTCAATAATAATAATCGCATGTCATGATCAAATTTTAGGAGATACAGTGGGTCAAGAGTCAGAAGATTCATGCTTTAAGCCCACATTTGCCAGCTTTTAAACTGGGAAGTCTTTGGGAAAATATGTGTATGGGCTCAGTTTTCTTCTCTGATCAGAAAAAGATCTATAATACTTGAGTTTCAAAGCAGCTTCCTCTTTTAAGTATGTGGGAAGAGACGTGGGGTTTCTCCAAGAGAAAGCAAAATCCCCCATGTACCTTACACTTGCAAAGCTCTCCAACAAGCACGTGGGGACTTTTCACCTCTCTGGTGTAGGAAAGAGAAAGGTAACTAGAGCCCAGATGTAAATTTCATCTAACCCCTATGCTGTTCCACACTGACAGCACTCCTCATCCCCTACCCTTCCCACCAGGCCCCTCTGACTATGTTGTTAAAGACCACATCCCCAGAAAGATTTGGAGCCATCAGTCAGTATTGTCCTTAGTCCCTCCCTTATCCACTGTCTTGTTCTGCTTCTCAGTTTTGCCTACATCTTTATTGTGCAGCATTGGACAAGACAGCTAATGTCTTTGGGCCTCAGTGACAAACTCCAAATTCACTTCCAGCCCAAAAAGTCTGGAGTTCCAGCTACACTGTGCCAGAATTATCATTGTCCTCATACTCCAGATGAGTCAACCACACCTTCCCTTGTAAGGGGATATTTCACACAGAGCCCTCTTCTCTCAGGCTGTGCATTTGTCCCTTGCAGCCATGATACCCTCTCATCCAGTCCTTTTTCAGGGAGCTCTGCCTGCAAGTCCCATCAAAGAGAGGTGCTTGCCTGGCTCCACATTCATCTCTTTGCCTTTCAGAGCTACAGCTCTTCATATGGGCTGCACACTGTGAGAGTAGGGGGTAGGGAGAGAGTGAAAACTCCTAGACTAATTACATGAATTAAATCCAAATCTACAGTGGTAGAACACGGGCAATGGTAAAAACAAAACAAAACAACAATAGCAAAAACAGCTAGCTCCAATGTGTTGCTGCAGTCAAGTGCCATAGTTTCAAGGCACTGGAATCTGAGGGAAATGGCAAAGGTCCTGAAGCTGGACATATCAGCATTATGTTCTCTGTTCTGCCGTGTTCCAGGTATGAGACCTCAGGCAGCTGACTTAGTCTCTCTGAGCCTCACTTTCCTCATCTGCAAAATGGCGACATTAAAGCACATGCTTCATGGTGCCCTTGAGAGGATGAAGGGAGATACACCCCCTGGAGGTGCATGATCTTGATCCTGGCAAGGACCATGCTCAATAAAAAGCAGCTGTCAGTCTATCGGGAAATGGCCTAGAAATTCTGTTCTCTGAATTTCTTCTCCTCTGTATGTAAGGAAGCAACACCAAGTAATGGATAATATAAAATTATAATAAAATGCTAAATGATAGTTTGAGGACTTGATTGTTCATTCATTCATTCACTCAAGAAATATTCTCAGTGTGTCAATCACCGCCAGGTGCCAGGGATGAAAGAGATAGGGTTACTAGGCCCTTTACCATGCTGTGCTATTGGGTTGAAGTTGGATCGAGAACTGTTATGGTTTATGTCCAGATGTCTCTCTAAAGCCTCATGTGTTCGTAGGTGGGCTTTCAGGATGTGACTGGATCACTGGTGCATGATAATCCTCAGGGGATCAATCCACTGATGAGTTTGTAGTTGAATGTGATGTTGGGAGATTACATATAGTTGGAGGAGATGGGTCACTGGGGGCTTTGCCTGGAAGAGTTTATGTTCCCCTCCCTCCCTTGATCTTTTTCTCTGCTTCCTGCCATCCCATGAGCAATTCTCCTCTGCCATGATGCCCAGCCTTGGAGCCAGCTGACTATGGACTGAAACGTCTAAAAACTGTGAGCCAAGATAAACCTTCCATCCTTAGAGTTGTGGGTATCAGGTAATATGTCTCAGTGATGAAAAAAAAAAAGTAAGATGGGAGACAATAAAGGAAGTGCTAAATAGTAAGTTATAAAGGAAACAAATAGGGTGTGAAGATAGAAAACTAAAAAGACTGCATACCAGAACAAGCCTCTGCCAATCCATTCTTCAGAGTACATTTTGTTTAGTTAACATTTGGATTTGTGACTTCACAGTACAATCACTGGCTGATGGCGTGACTCACTCTGTGGGCACTGCTAATTACTAGGACCTATGGGGCAAAGACCACAGTGGCTGAGCACTAGCCCACTGCCAGCTGTCCCTGGGCCAAAGCAAACAATCATGCCTTGGATTCTGCTGACCTGCCTGACAGGAACCAGATCATGAGGCCGTACTGTGCTGCTTTGTTCTCTTGGACGGGAAATGTGTCTCTTGCAGCTGCTTCAGGGAGACCGGATAGCCACCTTGGTGCTCCCTGCTGGTTTTCTAGAATGATCCCCAGCTGTGTGCTAGGGAGCTTTCCTGGTTTTTGCCCTTGCTCTGGGAAACACGATCTCACGTCAAAAGGAAGATTGCCAGGGCATATCCTTTCTCCCATTAGCAAGGAGGAGGGGAATGGAGCAGAATGAACTCAGAATGGAAGGAACTGAGACTCATCACATGGCTGGTCCCAGAGCATTGAACCAGAGCTAATGGGAAGGGAGCAGCCCTGAGAACCTGTCATAAAATAAGCCTAGGTGCCTACATTTAATGTACTCAACTGTTATTCAAGCTCCGAATGATGTTATCAATCAAGAATTATGACTTCCATTTTATAGCTGAATAAACTGAGGCTTGAGGTGGTGTGACTCTTCCGTAGTCCCAAAGGTCATGAGCTGTGAAGCCAAGATGCACTGGTTGCAAAAACAATGCCATTGACTACCATTACTAAATATTTTTTCCCCTCCGCCCTGGGCTTTCCTTATGAATGACAGAGAGCATGCTATGAAAGATAGGGGAAAGAAAGAAAGGAACAGTCACACTACTGAGCCCCTCACGTACAGCACCACATGTGTCATGAATTTGATCATGAACTTAACCTTATCAAAAAGTAGGCATTATTATTCCTATTTTACACATAAAGAAACTGAGGCTCAGAGAGCTTATGAAAACTATCCAGTGCTGTACATCTCATAA